TTGTTCTTTCCAGTGTTGCTTCCATTCTGGCTATGGGATAGGGATGGCTTTGACTGTATTGTTAGATAATCTTCATTTTGTGCTGTTTAGAAACTTTTTGCAAAAAACCCCCCAGGGCCCTTATTAGGTGGAGGAAACATAGCCACATACAAATTGTGTGCAAAGATTTTCCAGGATTCTAGTTCACATGGAAAGCCTCACAGATACAGGAGTCTTTCAGACCATCACCCTCCATGACAAACATAAGGGAGGAGAAGGATGGGGTGGAAATGTTCCGTTGCACATTCATGCATTGGCTAAAAGCCCCTTCTGAATGCCTGAATATGACTCATTCATGCTGAAAATATTTGGGCACAGTCATTCAGTACACTTTTCCCCCCTCTGGGCATCAAAGCTTCCTGGTATGCTTTTTTTCTTTTTCTGACATGATGGCAGGGTGTGTGTGAAAAACTGTTTATCAAAGCTCAGCTTCTGGAAGATTATCTCTGGCATGAATTGAGTTGCCCAGAAAACATGAAGGAAAAACAACAGTTGGAGCTGGAATCTTCCTCTATGTTTGTATCAACATGTAATTTCTGTGTGCCAAGAAGTGGTGCCTGCTAGGCTCTGAGCCCAACCACAGCTATGTTTTTGTAGCACTTGTGGAGGTTATTGTAAAAACATTCAGTTTTCTTCTTTTCAGGGGAGTTAAAGTTCATGGTTGAAATTACTGTCCTTGTTTAAAACAGTGACCTGATTGAAATATAATCTCTAGGGCTCATCATTTTTTCTATGTAGAACATACTGTGCTCTTAAAGGTGACATTTAAGAACATATTTTGAGTTTGGGGCACCTGCTTGTAGACTAAAAAGTGCTGAGAACAGCACACAAGTGCAAAGCCATAGAGGCCCGCATGCTGGGGGTCATCCCTCAGCCAGCAGAGTACAGCAGGCCAGAGTGGAGCAAGCAACCTACCGGTTGCTTCCCTTTAGCCCAAGGCTTTTAAAATAATTAATTAATTAATTAATTAATTAAAACCTTTAGATACCATCCACCATCGCCAGAAGGCTCTTCAAACAGTTTACAATAAAAAATTAAAAGAACTGATGCAATAAAGCCATACAACATAATATACATAGATGTAATATGGGCCATAACACAAAAATCCCAACCAATTACATAAAGAAATAATAAACAATCCACAACAATCCAATGATAGTTTAAAATACAGTATTGAATGGCATAAAAATGGCTTGAAGCCTTGAAGGAGGAGGACAAATTTCCCTCTTTCCTTCTCTCTCTGGCATTGTGGGGGTGGGAGAGAATCACTTTCACTATAGCCCCAAAACCTAATTGGTCTTCCTAACTGAGATAGGAGTGCCTGTTCTGTTCAACTTGGAACAAAGCTCTGGGAGAATCCAATGAAGTTCAGAGCACTGTAATGTGTATTCAAGGTACTTTCCTGCTGGGTGGGGATGATGGGTGGGATGGCCCTCTGCATATTTCCATTTCCACAGGTCTCCAACTGTTAAGGCAATGCTATGGCTACATCTCCCTCTTTCTTGCCCACATATTGCTGCAGCAGTTACAGTGGTTTCCTATGTCCATGTGAGGCCTGTCAATTGCAGAATCTTCTTCCAGGTATTTCTTTTCTGCCTTTGACAATGGCAGTCTTACCTAACTTTTAGCAGCCCATCTGCTAAAATGTATTTTCTTAAAGATGTATTTAAGAAAATGCACTTTTTCTACAAGAATTTTTCCCACTTTAGTCCAATTAACTTTGCTGGAAAGAACTACTGGCCTATGCTTGGTTATCATGCCTTCTTCACAAGACCCCTTATGTGCTTTGTAGATGGGCATTGCAATGAGCTAGAAAATCCTGTGTCACTAAGAGGAAGAAAGCAAAGCTTTGTGTAACTCAGAGAAACATTTACAACAGCTTATGACTGAATAGTCATAACAGCAAGCCAGTGCTTATATATAATTGTTCCTTGAGGGAGCTGTCTCAGATCATTTGTCTGCCTCAAAGGATGTTCCTCCAGAGCTACCCATCAGAAAGACAGAAAAATGACTCAAATTGCTCAGTTGGTTTTTATTTCTTACCAGAAAGAGTGTACAATTTAGGGTTTCTTTGTTGTTTACACATCTTAAACAAGAAATATGACAATGGCACTGTTTATGATCAGAATAGCTCTTTTTGTGTGAATGGATACAGATGCCCTCCACCTGCTAAGTTAAATATGTCAATTTGCTGCATCTCATGGTGGTCATAGGGCATTTTTTAAAGAGGAAAATACCTGCTTTCTCCGCCAAATGCTATTTTTCAGCAGCTTTTGGCTTGCCTTTTGATGCATTGTATGATTTGTCCATGAGAAGTTACTCCGAGGGACTAAGTTGCATTTATAAGACCCAAGCTGAATTCCCTCTGAGCAATCTAGGTGGCCACTTTGCTTCTTTACTATCTGGGCCAACTACTTTCCAGACACTGCTCTGGGGAACTGAGCATATTTTCCCAGCAAACAATCGCTCTCACAAGTGGTCAGCGTGAAAACTGGCACCTTCTAGCAACCTCACAGTTACAGAGCACTTGCACAGAGACAACTAGCAAATTGCAAGGGAGAGGTGTGGAAGTTCAATTTGCTCAGCACTGAAATATTTTTGTTTATTTATTTGTTTAAAACCAAAGGTCTGCTCAAAATGTAAAAGGTATGATTGCCAGTTAAAATATCATCATTCTTGTGTATATCTTGCATATAAACATTCACAAGTAGGCTCACCATAAAACACAGAAAGCAAATGTTTCCAGCCCCTGCACACATTTGCTCTAATGTGTACTAACAAAGGCAATGATTATAATCAACTTCTATTGCCCCTGTGGCAGATGCTCATAAGCCTCTGAGCTCACCCGAGGCTTGCCAGCATCCAGAGTAAGCTGTGAAACATGGTGGCAACCTGTGCCTCCCCTTCCCTGCTTTTATCTAGACAGCTGCTTCCAGCTGTACAGATATGCTGCAAAGGAGGGGGAGGGAAAGAGGCTGTGGTGTCCCAGATGGTACTGGAAGGCCATAGAACTACAGCTATTTTTATACTCAAAAATATTGGAGACATGTAGCGTAAACTGAAGTGATTGCCCCTCTCAGAAGTCACCTATGTGGCACATGTGAGGCAAGAAAAGGTGGGGATGAGATGGTAAATTTCTGATATGGTAAAGTGGACTTTATTATTCCAGCTAGCAAGTGGGGAGGGGGTCACACCTTCCTATGCTCCTCAAGATGCTGCCACTGTATTCTGCTAGATTTGTAGGCCAGGACTTATTCATTGCAATGGGGAAAATAAAGAGACATCACATAGGGAGGGGGCAAGGAAAGCTTGAAAGGCTTTGCACAGGTTTGCTTCTCTCTTGCCAGCAGTGGCATCGCAGAGCAGGGGAGGGCAGCCAGCCGCCCTAAGGCTGCAATGGCCCTTCAGCTGAGTATCGTGCAGCACTCAGCCTAATGCATGTGACAAGTCTGAACCTCTGGCAAGAGTGATCTTTCCCTTCACTGGGAGCCTAGGATCGCCCATAATCATCACCCTCAGCAGCAATTATGTAATCTAGATTTATAAAACATAAATTAAAAGTAAAAGATAGATTCTTAAAATCATGTTGTCCAGAGCTGTAGTGGTACTAGCTGGAAAGCCTATAGCTGTTCCAAAATTGAAGAAATATAGAACCAATTCCCACTGAACTGACTTGGTTGTGTTATTCCTTCCCGCTCAATAAATGTTTTAAAATCATGATTGTGTATGTTTCATCTCAGTTGACTGAAGGATGGTTGAAGGACTGATTTCCAACTTTTGCCAGTAAGATACAGTTAACAAAGCACAACTATTACAATATGCTATTTCCTTACATGTCTACCTTTAATAAAATAACATGAAGCAAGAGTGGGGTCGCATAACTTATTCACTCTCTAATTCATTGTACAATATCTAACCAATATTTTCAGCCTGATGACATTCCTCCCAAATACATGCAAATGTTCTACTTCTCCTTCCACATCTCCAACACAGATTTGATACACTGGAGTACATTCCTGCCTGCCTAACTGGCATATAATATTGTTCATGGAATAGTTTGTATTGATTTCATATGATGTAGCAATACAGCTTTAATTTTGTTACATATACCAAATAATCATCCGAAAGTCCAGTACTAAATCTCCTTTTTCAGTTCTGCTTCAAAGCATCATGTGCATTGTATTGCTTATCTTTAACAAGATCATATTTGTTTCTAATAACAGTCCTTTTTGCATCCATGAAATGATTTTTCCCAAATAATATTAAGACTTAAGATTTATGTCTTTTCCCTTGATTTAAGGATTATTTGAAATTGTCAAGAATTGGAAAAATTGTAAGTGAAAACAAGTAGATGTTTGAGCTTCTGTATTCTTACTGGCAATATAACTCCTTCTGATATGGAGTGCTGAAATCTAGCCCTCTCTTATCTAAGTCTCACATCTCAAAATATCCTTTCTTGTGTCTTTAAATCTATATCCTTGAATTACAGCACCTAAAGGGCCAATCTGAACCTACAGTTAATCCATATTTTTTTTCAATCTCTTTCCCTACACCATCGTATTTATAGCTTGGTCCCTACCTGCTCCATACACACACACCTCTTGTGAGGAACCCAGGTAATTATCTATGTTATCTGGTATCCTGCAGGTCTCAATTTACCTTTAGATGATTTGAATTAAGTTGGGAAAATGGGATAGGAAAGGGTTTAACTCCCTACTCCCAGCATCAAATTCAAACTCCCCAACCTTCCTGCTGTGGTTGCTCTTTTCATTTTTACTTTTTCAACAATCATAGAAGATCCAATCACTAGTTGAACAGTAGTTTGGAAGGCATAGATTTATTCAGGAAGATATACAGGCTAAGAAATAATTGTATTTCCTTTCTTAAAGAAATGTTTAAACTGTGTCACCCTAGAAGTAAAACTAAAAATATACTCAATTATTTTTCTTTTAATTTCACAGTTTCTACAGCTGCCAAGGGAATTACATTCTGTTAAACACACCAATTTGAAAACTCTTTGAGATTACAATAACCACAAGATGACAATGGAGTAAGTATAATTGAAATTAAATGCATCCAGTGGAGGATTCTCCATTTTATGTCATATAAATTGATTCTAATATAGTGAAAGAGGAAGACATTTACACATGAATAAAAACAGTGCAACTGTATTGCTGCAATGAACTAGGCTGTCCTTGAACGTTAAAGCAGTATCAACCAGTCTGATCTCCAAAGCCAAGATTAGTATTACTAGCCTCATCCTATGAATGCTGGCTCTTCTCACAGTCCATGTTGAATCAGTACTAGAGTCACACTGACCATGGGTACAGACCCCACTGTCTGTTCCAGACCAGCTGCACAAGCTTCCCTCTGCAAGGAAAATCCAAGTTTCCCCAGCTATGTATTTAGGTTTGACAAGTGAACAGAAAAGAATCGGCCTGGATAGCTCTTGAACCTTTTAGCAAAAGAAGGCTACAGAAATCAGCAAGCGAAGCTTTTCACAGCATGGAGATAAGCATTAGCATGTACTAAAAGGCATCAAGATCGACAAGTTCAAAACCTGTTTTGAGCAGTGGAAAAATGGTCTCGATAGGTGTATTGCATCAAACGGAGAGTATCTTGAAGGTGACTGAAGTATGAACATGTAAAAATAAATACACATTTTTTTATAAATAAATTCCTGGATTGTGTGTTGGGGTGGTTCCTCTTGTATATGCACATTAAAAACTTGTACTAATTGGTGAGCTGTGAAATAACTTCAGGTCTTTCTCTTCATGCCAGATTTGATGAAATAGAAACCTAAAGTTGTACATTAGGTTTAGAGGCCCTTGCTCTTTTAATCTCAATCCAGCTTTCTCTTCAGATGGGGCAGTGCTGTTGCTTAAGACACTATGGGGGTGATGGATCATTGACCCTCTTCTTTCCCTGTATCTTTTCATTTAGTGGGATGGACATACGTTCAATGATGAGCTATAGCTAGAGTGGGCACAGCCACACAAGGCTGATGAAGGATCAGGCAAGATGCACAAAAATAGCAGCAAGTGGGAATTGAGGATCATCATGATGTCAGCAAAACTCTGTTAAACAAATCAATTATCTTTAGATTATATAAGAAACTTCTGATAATCTTGAATTGTTGCTGCATTGCTTTTGGTTCAGTGTGCATATTAGGATAAATTAAGCCAATGGATTTCTAAATCAGAGTTTAGAAAAATAGATCTTATGGTATGAAACAGAGACCTCCTTGCCAGTGGTGATTCAACCTGCAAAGGAAAAGGACTTTGGCTGCATAAGGGAAGGTGAGTCCATGCAGACTAATGTGCAAGCAAGCAACATCCTTGTAAATCTGTAGAACCAGAGCGGAAGCCTTTCTGATATTCAACGGCCAAAGGGCCACAACATCCCCAGCTTGCTGCATATTGGGCTTACTGCTTGCACAGCATGGAATGTAAGGTGGCCCCTTTCCCATTTGTTTTCTCATGTGGCCCCAATCTGTGGCCAAGCCAAGTTTATTTTATGTATTAATAAATTTATATTCTGCAACCGATTAGTCCAACAGTCTAGGCAGATTACAGAGCAAATAAAATCAAAACATATATAGCAATGAAATAACAATAAAACAGTAACATACATAATATAAAATAAACCAGTAATATAAAGAAAAATATAACAATAAACACCATTCACAACAATATCCAGTACACAACAATATGCAGCTGAGAGTAGGATGGTAACGTAAGAAGTTAAAACAATATGGGTTAAAATGCTAAGACTTGATAAAATCTAATTCCATTAACATTTGTAAGAGAGAAGTTCAATTGTTAAAATGTCTGGCGAATAATGTTGCTTTCACCTGGCGCCAAAACGATTGTAAAGAAGGCACGAAGCAAGCTGCTCTTGGGAGGCTATTCCATAAGTTGGGCACAGCCCCTGAGAAGACCCCTCTTCTGTTAGCTATCCTCCTTACCTCTTTGTCGGGTGGTTTCCTCACGAGGGCCTCCAGACACAATCTTAGGGGTTGGGTATGTGCATATGGGAGCAGGCAATCTTTGATCTATCCTGGTCCCAAGCTCTATATGTTAAAACAACTAACTTAAATTTGGCCTCTCAACTGGTAACCAATGAAGAAGATATAATATTGGAGTCACATGGGCATGAAATCCTGTTTGCACCAGCAGTTGCGTCACCCCATTCTGTACCAGTTGAAGTTTCTAGATTGTCTTCAAGGGCAGCCCCACAGAAAAAGTGCGTTGTAATAGTCCAGTCAAGAGGTTACCAGAGCGTTGGTCACTTTGGCAGTGCTCTACCTGTCCAGGTAGGGTCGAAGTTGGTAAATTCATCGTAGCTGAAAGAAGGCACTCCTGGCCACTAATTTCCTCACTCCACCCTATTCCTGCCCTACCTATTCACCAGAAATCAAGGTTTGCAACTCTAAATGAATCTCCCATTTACACATACTAAACTCTCCTTGTCCCCTTCCTTAACCAAAAAATGACATCCCATGAACTATTTGAGCTTTCTTGCTAACCAAGGTAACTGAGAGAAATTTAACCGGTTTCAGTCAAAAGAGAATGCTACTACTTTCCTATCTGGCCAGTTGTTTGGAAGGGAATAACTATGTGCCCAGCCTTCCAGTATCCATCAAGGGCATCTGCCCCACTTCCCCGGTGCCTGGATCTCCATGCTGCCAGCTATCTTAGTGTACACACATGCATAGGCCATATTTGGATGCTCCCCCCCCCACACACAGATGGGTGGAGAGAGCAGAAGTAGGGGAGACATGCCTGGTGGAAGAGAAGGCTGCACATACTTGTTCCCCTCTCCCTCATGAGCCAAATTAGGGAGACTATTATCCAATTCAGTCCATTTATCTTCTTTGGTACTTACTGAGATAGTATATAATCCAATCTACACTTTCAACAGTACTGAATTTGTTAATTTTTAATACTATTTTGCCTTTAAATTATTACTGTACTAGGGAATATAGTAGATTTCTGAACTAGTGGAAAAGATTAGAGATAATGAAGAGTGCTAGGTTTGTAATTATTTTATCTTTAGGAGAAGCTATGCCTCTCCTTTAACATCTTCAGACAGTTGTCCATATTTAATTTTTTGCAGGAAGCAAATATATTTAATTGCAGTCGATTCAAAATGCATGGAGTAATCAGCTAAAATATTTAAGGGACAGTCCTATTGTTAATAAGTGTAAGCTAACTTTTCCAGCTCTATATGCATATTCTTTGTTTAGAATTTTCATTTCTAATTTGTAGTTGCTTAGATTGTAGAGAGGTATAAAGGTGCTCAATTTAACTGATGTGATCTTTGGATGGCTGCCAAATATCAAGAAAACATATTGAGATGACAATGCCACCTGAAAGTATCCAGAAGTTGACATTTCACTGAAAGATAATGAAATAATTATTTTATGAAATTGCAGTATGACACTTCGATAAATCATTTTAATGAAATGTAAATTTGGGAAGAGGAGAATCAACTGTGATTAACCAAAAAGTAGTTGAGTCTCACCAGGTTGAAAGAAAATCTTTTTAATAGGGTCAAAACAGGATAAATCTCTTATTGAGCATGGGTTTGCACACAGAGAATTTATTAAATGTCTTTGAGGTTCTATTCATAGTTGTGGAACAAAAAGCCAGGAGAAATGTCTGGCTGTGTAGCTCACAGTCAGGACCAAACCTGGAAAAAAAAGCATATTGCATGTATAACCCCCCACTACTGAGTTAAAGCTGCTTTTCATTTTTCAAAGAAAGGAGCAGTGCCTTTCCTCCCCCACCCCCACCTTCCTAAGTTGGTTGAAAGTTCTCAGTAGGTAGCCAAAATATTAGTCTAAATGTGTGAACTAATTTAATTGGTCTTACCTTTCCATATGCCTGTCATTTTACCACCTGTAGCCTTTCATTTGGGAAGATCAAAGCACTTCTTATTCAAAGGATGCCAGAGACAATTTCATCCAACAATACAGTGCAGCAATTTTTGTCTTAATAAGAAGCAATATGCCATGGTGTACTGTAGCACCTTAAGTGGAAACAAGAGCAGCACATAGTTTTGCAAGGAATATGTAGCTGAAATGTTTTTACTTGTGTTTAAGCGTGGCTGGGTGCTGTAGAGAGCAACCTGAGTATGTGCAAGCATTACTGGCTTCACACTTTCAGGGCCCTAAAAACAATCTCTGTGGACCCCTGTCTGAGTGCAACCATGTCTTCTTCTCCTCCACTTCTCATCACTGTTGATTTACTCGGCCTCATCTTCCAGGCCAGTTCCAGACAGCCACCAGAAAGGACCGTGTGGTGCAAATGGAGGATGTTGCTCCATATTCTAACCCACTTCGATAAGGCAAGTGAACTAGCAAGGAGGAGGAGAAACTGGGCCAGGAGTTTCCAAGGGTGGCAGGGGTCCTCTGCTGCATGTTTGTCAGCCCTTGTACAAAATATAACAGAGAGAGGACACTGAGAACAGACTATTACATAGATGAACGCTACTGCAGGTATGCAATTTATATTACTCGGAAAAGGTGCTTCAGATGGACAGTCCAGCTTGGAGGAGGCATATGCCTTCACTGACTAGAAGCTATGCAGCGGATAAAAAGGGATAATGATCATTCCACAATGAAGTAATTCTTCTCTAGTGGATGAAAGGAACACTTCTCTTTAGTTTTTGATAGAAACAATGCCTGCAAAATTCAAGGCAAAATTTCGTATTCCAAATAGCCATGCTAATGATATTTACATACACAGCTGCTGCAATGTAGGAAATGGAAGAGCAATCTAGTAATCCGTTAATCCAGGTTATTGTCCTGGATTGAAGAACAAAATGATGCAGCTGCCCTCTTCACACATTATATCTAGGGTAGCTCTGAACATGAATGGAGGGGAGTAGATGGTAGCTCTGCCTTTGGCATACCTGCCTTCCAAAGATTCCAGAATGTAACAAATGGAGAATTTAGCAAGAAGCTCTGCTTTCGCGCTTGCTCTACAGCTCCTTTATGACTACCAGCTCCTACTATTCTTATGTATGTATCCATATTGCCTGGCAACAGAATCAGTATTCCTCTCCCAGAGCTGCCTCTGGGACTCCCACTCCAAACTATCCCATCCTCTTATCTTTTTTACTATCTAGTCTGTGATTGATTGTTTGATTGATTGATTGACTGACTATTGTTTAAATGAAGACAGTTATTGCTGTTGCTTTTGATTTTTTAAATTACAAAACCCTATATTATTGATTTCTTTTTTGTATATTTTGTTTGACTCTATATTGGCCTTGTTGCATGTTGCCTTCATTTCCTTGGCAGAGAGGTGACTCCTAGATATTAGAAATAAATACATAAAATAAATTACAGTTTGCAGATGACAGGAGAATAAAATACCATGGTCTTTGGGAAGTTTATGCTCCTGATATATCCATATGTGTTATATACCTACTGAGGGAAGATCTTTGTATTAAACTTGTTCAGTCCTTAATCTTAATTGCCACCATTAATTAATTAAAGTGCCAGTAGAGTTCAACTGAGGGTTTTCTAAACTATTAATTGAAGTGCATTAATAATGTGAATTACTACCTCCTGGAAATTAACTGGCAGCCATGAGACTTATTACACACTGGACCTCAGGTTGAACTTGCCTGCTTCGTGTTTAGATAAATCACCCATGTCACCCAGGCTAGAACAGCCAAGGACACAATTTAAAAGTGATTGAACATAATGGGAAGAATGTTTATTTCTATAGATGCTGATTTGGTTTCATACATTAAGCATCAGAAAAGTTCTGCTATCCCCAGTTTAGGAAGGAAGGCAGGATCAACAATTGAAACGGGAAAAAATAATTATGACCTACAGCAGTTCTTAGAAATTTCTTGCTGTAATAACTAAGTAACCACATGAATTGGCCTAATCTTAAAAGTATTTGTTGCTCAAGGAATAACTACTCCACAACACATAGTTATCTTCAGGAATTCATTACTATACAATGTTGTGGTGATGGCCACTTCCTTAGAATAATCTTTAAAGTGAGTTAATTATTGGAGGGAAAGTCAACCAGTGCATAATGGTCCTGAACAATAAATCAATCTTTCATGTAAAAAAGCATCATACCCCAGAATAGCAGATCCTAGGGTTAAATAACTTTTTAGAAAGTGTGTGGAATGGAACAACACTTACTACAACAAAAGAGCTACCAGATGCCTACAAGAACCCCAAAAGCAGTGTGTGAAGTCAACAGCCTTCTTTTGCTATTAGTCCTATTTACTCCAGTATGAAACACTAAAGCATACTTTGGCTACTGAGGCACACCAAAGAATGTCAGATGATCAGTCTATGCTTTATAGACCCAGACTTTGACTATGTAGATCACAAGAAGCATGAAAGGTTCTGAAATAAATAGGTGTGCCTCAGCACTTGATTGTTCTGATGTGTCTTGTATCACAGACAAGAAGCTACAATTAAGACAGAATACAGAGAAACAGAATGGTTTTCCATAGACGAAGTTGTCAGACAAAGATGCCTTTTGTCTCCCTATCTGTTAAATCTGTATGCCGAACATATCATAAGGAAAGCTGGATCAGGATCAGAGGAAGGAGTGAAAATTGGCAGAAGATGCACTAATGATTTAAGAAATGAGGATGATATGATATTGCTGGCACAAAGCAGCATTGAATTGAAACAATTACTGTTGAAAGTGAAAGCACAAAAACAGGACTATAGCTGAACATTAAAACAAAAGTAATGGCTACAGAAGAATTACACTGCTTTAATGTCAACAATGAAGAAACATGCTGCTTTTGTGGCATTTTGCATACCTTGGCTCAGTCGTCAATTCAAACAAAGACTGCAGCCAGGTAATTAGAAGAAGACTGAATCTTAGAAGGGCAGCAATGAAGGAAATAGAAAATATATCAAGTGTAAGGACATTTTAGTGGAGACCAAGACCAAAATAAACCACACTTTTGTATTCCAAATCACTATGTATGGCTGTGGAAGCTGGACAAGGAATTTCACAGGAAAGAAAACTGATCCATTTGCAGCATGGTGCCAAAAGAGAGCTTTGTGAATACCCTGGACCAACAGAAAAATAGACAAGTGGATCCTGGATCAAATCAATCCAGAACTTTCCCTGGAAGCAAATGTGATGTAACGAGGCTGTTGTATTTTGGGCATATTATGAGATGGCCAGACTTTCCAGAGAAGACAATCATGCTTGAGCAAATCAAAGTCAAAAGATGAGGAAGAAGACAAACTATGAGATGAACTGATTCCCTAAAGCAGTGGTGGCGAACTTATGACACGGATGCCACAGTGGGCACGCAGAGCCCTCTCCGCCATCACGTGAGCTAAGTCACCCAGCATCGCCCCAGCAGCCGAGCATTGGATAACAGCGCACATAGGGGCCATGCACATGCTCGGAAAGGAGTAGCAGCACCAGATGATGACGTCACAAGCTGCGACTCGTCTGAGCTTTTGCATGGCCAGTCAGTACACTGCCAAGGATATAAATATATTTGCTTGTATTGGCTGTGAGTTGTTTTTTCTAAACTAAAACCTCAGTTTTCAGGTTTTATTGCAGTGCTGGCACTTTGTGATAAATAAATGGGCTTTGGGTTGCAGTTTGCATACTTGGCCTCTAAAAGGTTCACTATAACGCAGTTAGGGTTAGGAAAAAAAGGTGTCCTGGTATGATGTTGATGGTTGGAATGTGTTTAGTATGGGCAGAAATGTTGAGATGGGCAGAAAAGGTACTCAAGGAAGGCTTTTTCAAAATCACCCTCTTTTCAATGGTATTTTACCATTATATTAGGGCCAGGGGAGTGTTTTTTCTAAACTAAAGCCTCAGTTTTCAGGTTTTATTGTAGTGTTGGCACTTTGCAATTAATAACTGGGTTTTGGGTTGCACTTTGGGCACTTGGTCTCTAAAAAGTTCGCCATCACTGCCCTAAAGGAAGCCAAGGTTGTCAAGGACTGAAGATTTTGGAGGGGATTCATTCATAGGGTCATCATAATTCAGAGAAGACTTGATAACACATAATAACAACAAATTCTATGTGGCTCCATTTAGACAATAGACTTGAAGTATAATCGTATGCAATTTTTGACATAAATGTATAAACTTGCATAGGATTGTGCTCTTATTCTGTGCATATCTTATTCTCCTTTAAAGCTACCTAAGTCTGTGGCCATCACCACACTGCGGCAGGAAATCACATACGTTGCTTTTGCCTTGTCAGAAATCAATCCTTCCCTCCCTTCCTTACTTGTCCAGACTTGAACAGGTGTGTAAGAATGCTAAATTACAGGGGCATATTATCTGTATGCCTTCACTTTGGCTTGCCGTTGCTAGAGTTCAGAGCAGGAGAAATTATACCTGACTTGGGCCAGGCCCCCTTATGAACTCACCCAAGTCTTAAAATCTTGAGGAGAGACCTTCTCATCACCTCACTGATCTCCAAGGCTTGTTTGGTGGGTTGATTTGCTTCAATAACACACAGGCTCCTTTCCAAGGGAGGCCACCTGGCACCTTCTCTGGTCACCTTCCACTGGTGAGAGGTAGGAGGCCTTTAACCTATTAGCTATTCCAAATGTTTTGAGGCACATTTTAACAAGATTTAATCTGCAGCTTTTTATTTATTTGTTTTCTCAGCCCCTATTTTGCTTATGTAACCCTAGTGAACATATGTATATGACATTGTCTGTAGGAGGGGCTGATAGGAAAAGCAAGGGGAAGGTGATTTGGAACAGGGGGAATGAAAGAAAAAGAAAGGAGGAGTGGGAAAAAAACTCTCTTTTCAACAAGAAAAGAAGGGGGGGCACGCAGAGTGCGCACGTAGGCAAAACGGCTGGATATTGACTAAGTGGCTTCCTGCTTACAAATAAGCAAGATTGACAAGCTGGGCAGAACAAAATGAGCCTATCGTAGCCCACAGGGGGCAGGGCTGGATTAGGAAGAAGGGCTGGTGTTGGGGCAGTGCGGAGTAGGTGGGCGGAAAGAATGTAACTCTCAGTACCCTATTAGCCAATTAGGGGAAAGGAGGAGGGAACAAGTGGCCCTGATTCAAAAGGAGTGTGTGAGCATGTGCTCGGGTGAACAGAAGAATTGGGAAGGAAACCATTCCCTTCTGTTCCCTTTATTGCAATAAAGTTTTAAAAAGAACTTTCTGCATGTCTGGAATATTTTTCTCTTCCAACAGAAAGGAAAGAGTGTTTTTTAACAGGGGCAAAATGCTCAGTCAGCCCAGCCAGCCACTGGAGGGTCTCCACAGAAGGAAAGCCTCTGGTCTCAGATCAATTGACTGAGAATATTCCTAATCTTACAGGTTCCAAATCAATAATCTCCTTGACAGGAGCTAATATTACTGATGGTTGTAAAGAGAGACTCCATAGGGAGAAAGCCCATGACCTAGGATACATTGACTGAGATTGTCCCTAATTTTGCAGATTCCAGGCCCAAGCTGCAGTTCCAGCAAGATGATCCTTCTTCAGCATCTGTGTGCAAGAACAGCACTTAGTCTGAGCTGAAGACTCTTAAAGCACCTTGCGGTGGTTTTCCTTCTTTGTTGCTCTTACAAAATACCACACGCAGCCTTCTTGCTTCTGTGCCATGGACTCTCTTGGAGGGGTACTTAGGAAATGGGAATTGTACAGCTGTAAAGCACATGTTACAAATTATTTTGTTTTGTAAATGTCTGGTAAAATACATATTTGAATATCTAATCTTTCTGATTTTTTTAAAAAATATTATTATTTTGGAGACATGACTAAAATAGCTGCATGAACCAGTGGCCTGTATTAGCCAGTTGGCATTTATATATTGTTATTTTCTATTTTAATGTGATTGGTTTTATTAATATTGTTTGCCAGCTTGAGCAATGCAAAGAAAAACGGGATAAAAGATTAAATAAAAGTGCTTACCATTTCTTCCCTAGTCTCCTGCTTTTTGTACTCTCTAATCTGATGGAGAGTTCTGGAGTTTTCTGAAATCTTGGTGAGTCACAATAAAGGTATTTTGGATTATTTTCTCAGGGACCAGCATGCCTATCTTTGATTTCTATGTGCTTTGGAAAATACAGTATTTAGCTGTTGCTGGGTAGGGAATCTATTACCAGATGAAAGAATGCAGATTTTCTACCACCTGAAGAGGGAATTTGCACTGAGGGTTCCAACCACTAGGTAATACCATTTGTCTTCAATGGACTTGTTTACTTAGTGCATCACCTACAATAAATTTCTGCCTTTGCTAATATCAAGACTGTTGTACTTCTGTGTAATTTTGTTTTGTGCCAATTCAGGAACCTGTGTGTTTTTCCCAAGTTTTCTGGTATTCCCAAGATTAACATTTTATAAAATTTTTATAAATTTGCAGAAGCCAAAGACAGTGCACCTCTTTGAAACTTCCTCCAAGTTTCCTGTATGCTTGGCTCAACAAGAAACATCTCAGCTTTCAGCCCTGAGCCCACAGACCATTGGAAGGCACAGAGGGAGGGAGGAGCGGGGCCAGGGCTCCAAGCCCAATATGCTGAGCCTCTCAAATGCACCTGCAGCCCAGACCTGCTTGGATCAGACATTCATTTATCTATTGGCCATTGCTAGCCTGATGTTTAAGAGTTCTATAAGCAGGTTAAGCTTAGAAGAATCAGCAGGGGGAGGAGGAAACACAAGTGGCCATCCCCCCCCCCCAAAAAAAAACACATTATGCCAAGAACATAACATATCATTTTAAATCCAAACATTTAAAAAAGGGGGGAAAATAAAGTATCATGAATGCCTGGGTTGGGGAGGAGCCATTTCATTCTCACCTTTCATAGCAGATTTTGAATGACATTCTAGTTAGCTACTAAGGCAGGCTGACAGAAAATCTATTTGATTATGTTCTCATTCTTTTTCTCACTTTTGATAAATCTCCACCTTTTTAACAAATCCATTTTCAATAAAAAGTACACTGACACCAGTAATGAATGAATTGTCATAGTGGTGCTCCATGGGAAACTTAGGCAAAGCATACCCAAGACAAATGGATTTTGTAGGGCGGGGTCCTCAAACTTTTCAGCAGTGGGTCAGCTGAAAGGGGGTAGGGTGGGCGTGAGCCGGTGAGGTGGGGGTGCCTGTGGACACCGGCTGGTGAGGCGGTGGGCGCGCATGCGCACGGCGAGGCGGTGAGGCAGTGGCTTGCTCACTTGGAGATCTCCAAGCGAGTCCAAAACAATCTCTGAGTGAGCAAGCCGCCGCCTCACCAGGCGCCTGCACGCACGTCCACGGGGAGTCCAAAACCTCTGAGGCGGGTTGGATAAATGGGCATGGTGGGCCGGATCTGGCCCACGGGCCGTAGTTTGACGACCCATGTTGTAGGGTAAAGCCACTCACTCTTGGGGAATAAGAGCACCAAGGCAAAGTGAAACCTTTTCCTGAAATTCTAGAGCATTTGATTTTTTCAGCTGTAATGTCCTGTTTCTGTCAATTAGTAACCATTCAGATGTATGATGAAAGGTAACCTTTTTGACTGTTCTCAACCTTCTGTATCCCTTTGTGAAAAGACTTATTATTTCTTGATTTCCACACACAGAAATACAATGCTACTGTTTTAATGTGAAGAGCTATCACTGCCTATGATACTCCCTGTCTTGCTCTGGTTCTTGTCACATGAGATTTTCGTTTTTTATACAGTGCTTCCAAAAGCAATTTGATCTGAGTCCATAGATGAAAGATGGAATTTAAGACTATGAAACCCAGCAAAGAAGAAATACAATGGGTGGCAACTCTGTTATCTGTTTGGCACCAGGTGAAAACTTTTCTTTGCCCAGGCATTTCAGTTGGTCTGTCCTATATTTTATGGCCTTTTAAATTGTTTTATATTTTTATGTTTGCAATATTTTATGATACTTGATACATTCTTGGGTAGTCCTGTGGTTAACACTTTTATAGGTTAAAAAGGAACTTATGCAAATTTCATTTAGTAAGTTAATGAACAACAACAACAAAGTATTTCAAGTACCATAGCACAATATATAAAGACAGGCTGTGGGGTACATCTGTCGTGAACTGAGCGTCCCTCCCAAGCAAGACAGTCACTCCAGCACTTCTTGTAAGAATTTTATTCTACACAGGAAATCTAAGCATTCATGAGTCTCTGAGCATACACAAGGAGAAGTGTTGACCCCTCTCTGCCCCACTTTAACCAAAGCTTTTTTTAATGAATGCTTCAGGGCTGGTCTCTGGAAGCTGGGGCGCTGTGAAAACGTGTGCGCCTTAGTTCTGCACTCTGAGCCCCTAATTGCCAGCCTGTGGCTGTGAGGACAGGCCCTCAGATCCACATCCTCAGGAGGCTTGTGTTCTCCATTGAGACATTTCCCCCTTCCCGTTCTTCCTCTGCCTCATTCTCACAGGCGGGAAGGAAACTGGGTCCCATGGGTGTCCTTGAGCTAATTTCATCCAGAGCAGGTGCAGGCCTGTCAGTTACAACAATTCCATTATCAGAGTGTGAGCTCAGAACCTGTTCTGGTTCAGCCACCCCCACATCATCCTCTGAGTCTGAGCTATCTATCCCCCCAAAACAGGCCATCTCTTGTACGCACCTGGGAATCTCACCAGAGGGCACATGTATGCCAACATACAATCTGTACTTACGAACACACAGACAGCTGTAAACCCTATATGAATATCTCTATTGAAAAGTTGTGAATATCTCTAGGGAACTAGGTTTCCTAGTGATAGTCACAGCTTTTCCTTAGAGATGGTCACAACTACCTCTAGGGAACTATGCAATGTATCTCTAAGGAACTATGTGATGCCATGCAGTTCCCGAGAGATACAATATTGAAGGCTTTTCCTTCCACAACATCGGTTCAAGCATACCCAAGCCAGTGTGTTTTGGGGCACATATAGGATTTGTAGTTCCCCTTCAGTTTTTCTGTAGCATTTGCCCTTGTAACCAGGCCCTCAACTACTACAAGACCATTTATGATGAAAAAAAGAAAATGGCTGCACAAACAACCCTTGCGGCCTACTTCAAGAAAACCATTCTACTGGTAACCCACCCATTTCCTCCAAGTCTGATAACGGAATTGTTGTTGTAATGGACAGGCCTCCACCTGCAGATCCAGTTTCTCAGTACCCATCTGTGCCTGCTCAAGATAAGATTATTTCAAGGACAGCCATGGGGCCCACCTGTGGGAATGAAGAAGAACAACATCCTGAGGGAGGGGATTTGGAGATGGGGAGTCTCTCAGATAAAGAACCCCAGCGTCCTGAGGAGGTGGACCCAAAGGTCCATCATCACAGCCTTGGGGTAGCCCAACTGGGGTCAGAGTGAAGAACTCAGGCGTGTCTGGTTCCACAGTGCCTCTTCTTCTCAAGACAGGCCCAGAAGGGTTCATAAGCAAAGCTTTGGGTAAAGGGGGGCAGAGAGGGTTCAACATTTCGTATTGTGTATGCTCAGAGAATTCTGTGTAGAATAAAGATGCTTACAAGAAGTGCTGGAGAGTCTGTCTTGCTGGGGAGGGAGCACCTAGCTCACGACACCTTTTCTGGTCAATCACTACCTGCTCAGACCCATCAGAATACAAGTGAAGTTAGAATTTTTTGCCTCAATGTTCATCACTCCACACCTGCTTACATCGATCTGCATTTGACCATGTAATACTCATTCTCTAATCTAGAGGGGCCCCCTGGAGTTTTTTTTGCCAATTCCCCATTTTAACCACCCTATATAATTTACTGTCATGAATGAACTTGGCCACTGCACTGCTCACTCCTAATGCCAGATCATTTATGAAAAAGTTCAAAAGCACCGTTTCCCTATGGGGGACCTCACTGCTTGCATCCCACCACTGCAAGAAAGGCTTATTTATTCTTACTCTCTTGATTCATCAGTTACCAATCCATAACAGATTCTTATATCATTACTGTTTGCTCAGGAACTCCATTGACAGACTCTTGTCAAAAGTCCTTTGAAAGTCCAGTGTATACTGAATCACCTGTATGTACATTTACTGACACTTTTGACTGCATAAGCATTGTGAGACAGAACTTGCCATTCTACATGCCCTCTAATATGCATGCCCTCTAATATCTACTGGAATATAGATTAAGCTAACTGGGCTATAATTTCCTGGACTCCCCCCAGATCCCTTTCTTTAAAATGGTGTTAGATTGGCCATTCTCTAGGCCTCTGGTATAGAGGCTGATCTTAGTGGTATATTTAGTATACATTTAAGTTTTTCAAGAACTCTCAGATGAATACTACCTAAACTCAGAGATTTGTTTGTTTTCAAGAGAGGCAGTGTGGCATAGTGATTAAGAATGTGGGTCTGGGACTCGGGCATTCTGTGTTCAGCCATGGAGCCAACTGAGTGACTTTGGACTGTTCCCAGACTCTCAGCCTAACCTACCTCACAGGGTTCTTGTGAGAATGAGACTGAGAAAAGGAGAATTATGTAAACCACCTTGAGTTCCTCGAAAGGCAAAAAGGCAGGATATATATATAACAAACAGTCGATAAGATATAGAACTTCATCTCCTGGTGAAGAGCTTCGCTTTGCAAGGCTTTTAACTTAACACTTTACTGAATCTTCTGCTTTTGAATTCTGGGAGATTAAAACAGGCTCAATTATACACGCTTCTCTTCTGGGGGCTTTCTTTCTTGTCTGTCCATATGATGCATTGCACAACCAGAAGGTGGTACTGCAGCACAGTAGAACTGTGGAAATATGCAAGTTTTTCATAGTGCAATTTCCTCTATCTAACCCACTCCCCTGGGCAGAACTCGTTGCAAAGCATGTAAGAGTGAAGGGCGACAGTGTTACATAAAGGACTTATAAACTACCTGAAGTGCAAGTGCATAATCAATACCTTGTGTAGAAAATCTTTTGGCCAATCAGTCCCATTGATTTGTTTCTCTCTTGCC